TTCTTGTGTGCGAAAACAAGACAACGTGCAGATTATTAAAATTTTGACGAATTTTTGAAAAATAAAAGTAAAAATTGAACTCAAGTGTGGCACATCATTTCACACTGGCATTGTCTAAAAAGTCCAAAAACGTTATTCTTTACGTTCGACAACAACTCAGGTGTCCTATGGACACTTAGAAAGAACGTGGTTTCATCTCACTTATATTTTCTTATTTTAGTCAAAATGTGAGAAGACTATAAGCTGCTATGTAGTATTTTTTTATCATTTTTCACAAGAACTCACTAATAGAGAGACTAATGAAACCTTTGATTTTAAAATTTCCCTGAACCATGTTTTTATTATGATGGTATTAAAAAAATCTGTGATTGTATTTCTACAAAAAATATTTTCTCTGAAGGTTGAGTTTTTTTTTAGGATGATTACTTCAATTTCCTTATTGTGATTGTGAATTTTAATTTTGAATTATTTCTGCCACGACTACTTATTTTTTATTGAAGAGTGTCTAAAAGCACCAACGAGATTTTTTCTTGTTATAGACCACACCATAAAAGATGGGTGGGTGGGTGGGGAATTTCTATTTTCATGATAATGAAACGACTTTGTGGAACTTGATTTCTATCGAAATGTCTGATTTTGTAGACTTGTTGAGACACAGCTATAGGTATAATAGAAATTTACATCTATGACTCGATTTGGTAAACGCTAAATTTCAGTCATACATAAGTTTCATTTTTTAGTATCAACATGGTTTAACAAAAGAAGTTATAGATTATTAAAATTTTGACGAATTTTTGAAAAATAAAAGTAAAAATTAGACTCAAGTGTGGCACATCATTTCACACTGGTATTGTCTGGAAAGTCCAAAAATACTATTCTTTATCGTGAACAACAACTCAGGTGCAGGTATTCCATGTTTATTGCTTTATGGGTATTTAACCCGTCCCACCTCTAATAACCACCCACTGTAAATTCTGTTTACCTGTAGTCAACTTAACGGTACTTTACAAATTAAATTGTAAGTCCCTTAGAAATTTTCAGTATGGTCCTTCTTGGTAAACTGCTTAATATTCTTGCACTTTTAAATGCTTATTACCTTTGATGAAGGTTGGTTAGAAAATCCTACTGTATGTTAATGGTTAGTACTTAGAAAGTCAGAACCATAAAAACGGAATGTCTAACTCTTTAGACAAGGTATACCTGAGTTGAGTACCCCTGACCAGGATATGGCGGGCCAGACAATAAATAGTAATCCCTACTTAAGAAATCCGTTAATACTAAGAAAAAGAATTTTAACAAGAATCCTTCTGGTTAATATTCTTTAACTAAGCCCATGTACCTGTACCCTAAAACCCTCATATTTTAAAAAACATCATTTTCTAAATTGTAGGCTTCAGTCATGTATAAAACTGTAATTTTTTATAATTATTTATTGTTATTTCCTTGTCAATAAACTAAAAAATAAAAATACTTTCAAGTTTTTAAAATTTTGACGAATTTTTGAAAAACAAAAGTAATAATTAAACTCAAGTGTGGCACATCATTTCACACTGCCAATGTCTAAAAAGTCGAAAAAAGTTATTCTTTACCTTCGACAACAACTCAGGTGCCCTATGGACACTCATGAATGAACGTGGTTTCATCAAACTTAAATTTTCTTATTTTAGTCAAATTGTGAGTTTACTATACATTGCTAAACGTTATTTTTTTACCAGTACTAATCACTGATTAGTACTGGTAAATATTAATACAAAAAATGTTTTCTCAAAGGTCGAACTTTTGTTTTAAAATTCAATTTATGAGAATTTTACAGACAAACATTTTAAATTTGAGTCATTCCTGCTATTCAGTTACCTTTTTTTTGAAAAGTCCAAAAACATCAAAAAGATTTTGGAAGTTGTACGTTCCTGTATACAACATATTATATAATCTCTTTTGTTAAACAATGCTGATACTAAAAAAATGAAAAATATATGACTTGAAATTTAGTCTTTACCATATGAAGTCATAGTTAAACGTTAATTACTAAAAAAAATCTACCACATCTAAATCTTCGTTTCAACAAGTCTCTACCAAATCACACAGATCTATAAAAGGCAATTTCCACAAAGGTATTTCATTATCACGAAAATAAAAGCTCCCCACCCACCCACCCGTCTTCGAACCTGTGGTCTGTAACAAGAAAAAAACCTTTGGTGTTTCTAGACAATTTTCAATAAAAAATAACGTATTTATAGTAGAACGAATTCAAATTTTAAATTTTTGCATGTCTAAAATTCTCATAAATTTTAATATCACAATAAAAAAATTTAAGTAATCATCCTCAGAGAAAGCTCGACCTTTAGAGAAAACATTTTTTGTAGAAATATAATCAAACCACTGATTTTTTTAATATCTAAAAAGTAAATTGCGTTTTCATTATTTTCTCATTTGTTTCACGATCATAATAAAAAGATGCTTCAGGGAAATTTTAAATTTTATATTTTTTATTTTGTTGTGAAAAATGATAACCATGTACAACTTTCTCACATTTTGTCTAAAATAGTAAAATATAAGTGAGTTCAAACCAAATTCTTTTGATGAGTGTTGATAGGGCACCTGAGTTGTTGTCGAAGATAAAGAATAACATTTTTGGACTTTCTAGATAATGTCAGTGTGAAATGATGTGTCACACTTCAGTTTAATTGTTACTTTTATTTTTCAAAAATTCGTCAAAATTTTAATATTTTGAAAGTATTTTTATTTATTTTTTAGTTTATTGACAAGGAAATAAAAATAAATAATTATAAGAAGTTACAGCCTTTTACATGACTGAAGCCTGCAGTTTAGAAAATGACGGTATTTAAAATATGAGGCTTTTAGAGAACAGGTACTTAATTACATGGCTTAGTTAAAGAATATTAACAAGAATGTTTCTTGTTAAAATTCTTTGGTTATTATCTGGGCAACTATATTCTGGTAAGGGATACTCAACTCAGGTATACCTTGTCTAAAGAGTTAAAGACATTCCGTTTTTATGGCTCTAACTTTCTAAGTACTGACCATAAACATACAGTAGGATTTTCTAACCAACCCTCATCAAAGGGAATAACCATTTAAAAGTGGGAGAGACCATAACGAAAATTTCTAGGGGACTTACACTTTAATTTGTAAAGTAGCGTTAAGTTGACTGCAGGTAAACAGAATTTACAGTGGGTAATTATTAGGGATAGGACAAGTTAAATACCTATAAAGCAATAAACAGGGAATACCTGCACCTGAGTTGTTGTCCATGATAAAGAATGGTATTTTTGGACTTCCCAGACAAAGCCAGTGTGAAATGATGTGCCACACTTGAGTTTAATTTTTACTTTTATTTTTCAAAAATTCGTCAACATTTTAATAATCAGAAAATTGTATGTTCTTGCACTCAAGAAATGATACAATTTCTTTAGTTACACAATGTTAATACTTTTTCGTGTTTACCAAATTAGGCTCAATCCATTAAAATCAACTGTCACAAAGGTATTTCGTATCACGAAAGCAAAATTTTTAAAAAATTATTTTGAAACAAAGCAGAGTTCGTAGAAAATACAAATAAATTTCAAAGTTATTTAGACAAATAGCTTGAAAACTGTTGAGAATATTGTTCACATGGGTTATAAATTTTCCCCAAATCCCAAAATCTGAACACACAGACACTTAAATCGTAAACATTGAAATCGACGTTCGGAAATCGCAGTTATAAAATCCCCTCGTAATTTATTCTAATTTTAAAAGTAAAAAATGCACACGTGTGGTTATGTTTTATTAAAAAATAATAAAAATCACATCTAAATCAAATTTAATTAGAAAAAACCCAGATGGACCATTACGTTTATTAGCACCGAAAGTGTTAACGCTTATATAATCTTTTATAAGTTATTTTGTATTAGCTCCAAATCTAGCGCTCGAGGTAATAATTATGAAAGAATTTTTAGTGCAAATGCCATATTTCAGAAAATTAGAGAAGTGGGCGTTAGACGACTCTTCCAATATCCTTGAATATTAATCACCTCGTATATTATTTTATGCAGAAACATAAATATTTTTTTAATTGGATAATTTTATTAATTATTAATCAATCAAACTATGGCCAGAGGACTTCTTGTTTACTTTCGCAGAAAATACGCTATTTTTAAGTGTTTTGTTTACTTTTTCGAAAAAAAAAATTATCGAAACGGATTATTGTTATAATTCCGCAACATATTGTGACACCGAAAAAATTCGGGTCCTGATTATTGCCTCAGATTTATAGCACTCGACAACTTAATAAAGAGATTAGTGATTTATAATCCGGTACAAAGTCACGATGAATTTAAAGAAATTACGTATTTATTGAGAAAAATTTTGTTTGAGCAACCACAATTTATAGATATTCCCTCTGCCATACGGTCGCTAATCGCGTCTTGTACCAGAATGATAATTAATCTGTATCTTCCGTGCATTACACACAAGTAAATATATCTGCGGTTAGTTGTGTAGTAGTTTTGTTTGAACGGGCAGAACTATACGTAGCAGCGGCCCAGCTATTCCTTGGAGATTCATTACCCGAACTACTCCTGGTGGACTAATTCGGGACGTCTGCTCAAACTGGCTAAATTTTGCCAAATCAATTTTACGACTCGTTTGAAAGCTCGGACCAAAACTTTAAAGCGTCTTTTCCGATAATAGAAATCGGGGACTTAGTGACTCTCGCCGGGAGGTTTCTTTCTTTGTCGAACTCGCATAATCCGGATTGTTGTTGATGTTGTAAATTACGGAATTATCTTAATCGGCCGTAATTAATGCCTACTCACAGTCGGACCTAAGCCGTAATCACCTGATAATGTATCTTGGGAAGATTATTCGTCTTTATCTGATTCGGCACCGAAGTTTCAAGGTGGCGGCAACTTGCAAGCATGGGTGTATGAGGGGTTGCCTGCGTACGAATTTTAACTAATTTTTTGGTTTTGATTACTGAAGAAATTTTTCTGTTGCAGGGTCCGCCACCGCAAGGTGGCCAGTTGAAATTTACTATTGCGGACACCCTGGAGCGAATAAAGGAAGAATTTAACTTTCTGCAAGCGCAGTATCACACGTAAGTAGAATTACTTACTATATTTTGCATCATTTGTTCAAAATTTTTGACAGTCCGGAGCAGTATTACCAACAAAATTTTTAGACAAAATTTATGTTTGTGTATTACTTCTCGAATGTAAACTAAAGAAGTACTGTAAACGAGTCCATCGGGCGACTGCCACTTTTATGTTTTTTCAAGGTTTCATGACCCCACAGTACGAAAAAATAGGTCTCCCATTTTCGGGCCGTCTGCCCGTATTTTTATTAAACAGATAATCTTCTAAACAAAATTTGGTTAATCATCCATTCAAGAATAGAATGACATCATCTCAAAAATTTACAGTAGTAAATGTTATTTAAATTCCTGTACTTGTGGTTTATGAATCCGTGTTGATTTTTTATCCGAGAAATCTAGATTTTTGTAAAAAATCCAAATTGTACAATTTTTCCTTTAAGTTTCGATTTTTCAACTTTTTGATATTGTAGTTTTTTGGGTTTTTTGATATTTAAAATTCTCAATTTTTCAATTCCTCGTTTTTACAAATTTTTGTATTTCTCGAGTTTCAATTTTTCGCTTACAAAATACATATTTACGTATTTCGATATTTCATTTTTGAAATTTTTCAAGTTCGATTTTAAAATTTTTCGTTTTTTTCAATATGTCAATTTTTGGCGTTTCAAAATTTTCGTTTTTTCGATTTCTGGGCTTTTCATCTAAAAACTTTTTCAATTTTTCTATATTTTGATTTTTCCGTTTCTTAATTTTTTCGATTTTCAGATATTGAATTCTCCAGTTTTTCGATTTTAAAATTTTTCGGAACCTCGGTTTTGTTCAATCGTTCTTCGATTTTTCAGTTTTTCCATTTATGGATTGATCAATTTGTCGATATTTGAGTTTAGGGATTTTTCAAGTTCCTGATGTTTTAGTTTTTTGATTTCTTAAATTTTAGATTTTTCCATTTTTTTGTTTTTTCTATTTTTCAGTTTTTCGTTTTTTAAATTTTACATTTTCAGACTTTTAAATTTCAGTTAGATTTTTCCATTTATCAGTTTTATCAATTTTTTGATTACTTTGATCTATCCAGATTTGGATGTTTCGATTTTTCGATTTTTTTTTTAATTAAATTTTTAAATTTTTAATTTGTCCACTTCTCGACTTCAGTCAATCAGGAAATCAATCGATCAGTCAACAATAAACTTTGGTTCTCGATTTTTTGATGTTTCGAGTTGTCGATGTTTCAATTTTCCAATTGTTCGATTTCTCGGTTTCTCGATTTTTCGACTTTCCGGCTTTTTGATTTTTTTTCGATCAACTGAAAAATTGAAACATCAAATAATTGGAAAATCAATATTTTGATGTTTTAATTTTTCAGTTTTTCGATTTCCCAATTTTTCTACATTTCCGTTTTAGGAAATTTCAGTTTTTCGATTTTTAAATTTTAGATTTTTGATTTTTCATTTTTCAATTTTACGATTTTTATTTTTTCTTTAATATTTCAATTTTTCTATTCCATAAGTTTTCAAGTTTTGGATATCTCAATGTTTCGATATTTTAATTTTTGGGTTTGTCTATTTCTCACGACTTTCGATCTTTTGATGTTTCTCGATGTTTCAATTTTTCAATTTTCGATGTTTCGATTTTTCGACTTTTCAGCTATTCGAATTTTCTTTTTTCCATTTTTCGAATTTTCGATTTTTCAATTTTCGAAATATCAAATTTTCGATTTTCGATATTCGAATTTTTTTTATTTCGATTTCTTGATTTTCAGTCTTTCCATTTTTCGAATTTTCTATTTTACAATTTCGGTATTTCGTTTTTTCCATATTTCGATTTTTGGATGTTTCGAAATTTCGATTTTGCTATTTTTGATTTTTTGATTCCCCAATTTTTCAATCCTCCGATTTTAAAATTCTTTGATTTTTTGAAATTTCGCATTTTGAATGGTTAAATTTTCGATTTTTCAGTTTTTCCAATCTTCAGATTTTAGACTTTTCAATTTTATTACTTTTGGATTTTTCGATATTGGAATTTTCAATTTTTTTGGTTTTCGATTTCTTGGTTTTTAATTTTTCGGCTTTTCGAATTTTCGATGTTTTTCGACATTCGAATCTTTTTAATTTCGATTTCTCGTTCAATATGTTCCTTTTTTTGACTTTTCGATTTTAGAATTTCGGAATTTCGTTTCTTCGATTTTTAGTTTTTCAAAATTTCAATTTTCCGATTTCTCTTTTTTCGTTTTTTCAAATATTAGATTCATCTAATTTTGGTTTTTCGATATTCGAATTTTCAATTTGTTTCCTTTTCAATTTTTGGATCCTTCAACTTTCAATCGTATTTTTAAAATTTTTTAGTTTTCAAGGTTTCAACTTTTGATTTGTTGAATTTTCGATTTTACAGTTTTTGCATTCTTCTGATTTGGCTTCTCAATTTTTTTCCTCTTAGATTTTTCGTATTTTCGAATTATCAAATTTTCACTTTTCAAGATTTCGTTTTCTCCATTTTTCGAATGTTCGATTTTTTGACTTTTCGATTTTACAATTTTTCAGTTTTTCGATTTTCAAGTTTTAAATTTTCGGATTTTCGGTTTTCCGATTTCTCTGATTTTTGTTTTTTTAAATAATTGATTCATCTAATTTTCGATTTTTCCATTTTCCAATTTTCAATTTGTTTTCTTTTCGATTTTTCAATTCTTCAATTTTTCGATCCTCCCATTTTTCAAAATTTTGATTTTGAAGTTTCGATTTTTGATTTGTTGTATTTTGGATTTTTCAATTTTTCCATTCTTTAGATTTTAGACTTAATTTTTTTTTACTTTTCAATTTTCAATTTTTTGATGTCCCGAGTTTTCGATTTTCAATCGAAAATTGTCAACTTTCTACTTTTCGGTTTTTGATTTTTCGTATTTTTAATTTTTCCATTCTTCAATTCTCAGACTTTTCAATATTACTTTTCGATTTCTCGGTTTTTCGACTTTTCGGCTCTTCTATCATTTTTTAATTTTCAAAATTTCGAATTTTCGTTTTTTCAAATTTTTCGAATTTTCGATTTTTACTTTTTGGTTTTATAATTTTCGATATTTCGTGTTTTCCACATTTCGATTCTTCGAATTATCAGTTTTCCGATTTCTCTGCTTTTCGTTTTTTCAAATATTTGATTCATTTAATTTTCAATTTTTGGATATTCGAATTTTAATTTTTACTTCCCGAGCGTAAGCAAAGGAAGTATTGTAATCGAGTCCGTCGGCCGACTCTCTACTTTTACGTTTTCTCGATCTTTCATGACCCCTAGAAGACGAAGAAATAGGTCTCCCATTTCCGTCTGTCTGTCCGTCTGTCCTTCTGTCCGTCCGTCTGTCCGTCCGTCTGTCCGTCTGTCCGTCTGTCCGTCTGTCCGTCTGTCCGTCCGTCTGTCCGTCTGTTGTCCCGGATTTTTATTAGACAGATAATCTCCGAAAGTACTCGACCGATTGTTGTGAAATTTTGTACTTATATTAAGAATGTCATGTAGATGGTAAAACGCTAACCAAAATTTGTCTAATCATCCCCACCACTAATGCGATGACGTCACTTCAAAATTGTACATAGTAAATGGGTTTTCAATTGTATAAAATAACATAGTCCTACACATGTAGTTTACAACTCTGAATCGACTTTTCACCCGAAATGTCCAGATTTTTGAAAAAAAAATCAAAATTATAAAACAACATTTTGAAATTTAATTTTTAATCTGCTAACCAGAATGCTTTGAAATGTTGCAGATGTTTTAAGGCTATAAAGAGCATCATAAATCTTTAGTCAAAAAATATTTGCTTATCCCCTCCAAAAACTTGATGACGTCAGCTCAAAATGTGGAATAAATCATATCTAAAATGTACAAAATATGATGAGTCTGTACTTGTGATCTATCACTCCATTCATATTTTTTGGATTTGCATATACAGGGTGACTCAAAAAAATTAATGAATGCGTAAATATATTTTATTGATTTAATCAGGAACTACAAAACCGAATGCTCTGAAATCTTGCAGATGTTTTAAGGTCATAAAGAGCATAATAAATGTTTAGTCAAAATATATTTGCTTATCCCCTCCAAAAACTTGATGACGTCAGCTCGAAAGTTTGTCGAATAAATCATATCTAAAATGTACAAAATATGATGAGGCTGTACTTGTCATTTATCACTCCATTCATATTTTTTGGATTTGCATATACAGAGTGACTCAAAAAAATTAATGAATGCGTAAATATATTTTATTGATTTAATCAGGAACTACAAAACGGAATGCTCTGACATCTTGCAGATGTTTTAAGGTTATAAAGAGCATAATAAATGTTTAGTCAAAATATATTTGCTTATCCCCTCCAAAAACTTGATGACGTCAGCTCGAAAATTTGCCGAATAAATCATATCTAAAATGTACAAAATATGATCAGTCTGTACTTGTGATCTGTCACTCCATTCATATTTTTTGGATTTGCATATACAGGGTGATTCAAGAAAATAAATGAAAGCGTAAATTTATTTTACTGATTTACTCAGGAACTACAAAACCGAATGCTTCGAAATCTTGAAGATATTTTAAAATTATCATAAGCATGGTAAATTTTTGATCAAAACGCATTTGGTCGTCCCCCCTAAAAAATTTATGATGTCACCACAAAATTTTGCTGAAAAAATCCTATCTAAAATGTACAAAATATGGTGAGTCTCTTCTTGTGATTTATCATTCCATTCAAATTTTTTCGATTTGCATATACAGGGTGACTCAAAAAAATTAATGAATGCGTAAATTTATTTTATTGATTTAATCAGGAACTACAAAACCGAATGCTTTGAAATCTTGCAGATGTTTTAAGGTTATAAAGAGCATAATAAATTTTTAGTCAAAATATATTTGGTTATCTTCTACAAAAAACTGATGACGTCAGCTCAAAAGTTTGCCGAATAAATCGTATCTAAAATGTACAAAATATGATGAGTCTGTACTTGTGATTTATCATTCCAATCATATTTTTGGA